GGGGGGGGGAATAGTTAAAACTGTTGAGTTTTGCATGTTTTTCATACACCCAGTTGATCTAGTGGAGGGGGATGAATGGGGAGTCAGTGAATGTGGGTAATTTCAGGCCACAGATTAAGGTTTCTGTTTTGAGATTGTTGATTCTGTTAAGAAAGGGAGATGGGGCCTTGAATTTCCCCCCTTTATGGTATGAAGTTGATGGTGTGCTCTTGTGTGGCTTTAAACTTGATCCCAGAAGATAAGGATAGGCTTTGAGCATGGGTTCTCCGGGAATTTTCAAGTGTGAATGTCGCTTTCAAGTAGCCTTTGCCATGTGCTAACTGGTGAATGCAATACCCTTTTGATAACATTCATGCAATCAATCTTGTGCAACTCTTTTCAATAGAGAGATGGTCTGTTGCTTAGATAACTAATTGCAGCATGGAATAATAAAATCTTGCTTATTGTGAATCGTTTCTCAGTCTTAAACTGTTATAATCTTTAGCTGCTATTTGAGCCAATTTCTGCACTAGACGATTGGATTAATTTTGTTTAATCCATCTTGATTACATGATAGAATTGGAGCTCAGCTCCATTTCTGTAGAATTGATTAAAGTGGTTAGATTCTCTAGGAATTTCAGAATCCACAAAACGTGGGATTTGTGGCTTTAAAGTTTAAACCCATTAACATTGGAATTCAAAACTGCTGCCCAAATGCACTCGGAGTGTGAAATTGAGAAATTCGTGGAGTTGGGACAATCAATTCCACTTTCTGCCCCTGAGTTCCCAGGGATCCAACTTCCAAGAATACACACATTATTATTTTAAGACAAGTGAAAGATATCTTAAATCTTTCTTATCAAAGGGACCATAACAAAAGCATCACAACAACAAAATTAATAAAAGGAAGATCATAAGAGAAGAAAAGAAAAACGAGAAGACAAAACAATCCAGAACGAAGGTGATCCAGTTTACTTTTAACAGTTGCAAAAGAAAATTAAAAGAGGTGAAATGAACAGTGGGACCAAATTCCGTCTTCATTTCCTAGTCTATCTAGGAACCAGACTTTGTCCCCACCCTAGGGCAAGAGGAATTTAGTCTTAACTCTTAAGACGCATGAAACATCAATCATGTGGAAAGATAGAGGAATTGAAGCAGCAAAAATGGAGGACACTATATGACACCATCATGGTCTCGGGTTTTGGTGCATGGAAGTTTCATCGGGAGATGCAGCTTTTTCTTTGGAAAGCAGTGTCAAATTGATAACCAGCTGCAGCTGGGTTTCTCAGCCCAGGTATATATATGTAATGTAATGCGTGTGGTCCAGTGTTGAGAGATGAAACCCCACGTTACAGAGTGGAACCTGGACCTCAAGTGAACAGAGAAGCGAAGCCCATTGAAGCCATTACAGTCACAGATACGTTGCCACCTTTTCTGTCTCCCTCCTGCTTTCTTACAGAGACAGCATTGGTTTGTCCGCCTTGATCCTCGCACGGGATGGTTGGGAATTTGGGTAGCAAGACTGTCAAGTGTCAATGGCGGGCGGGATTTAGAATACTCATGAGTCATTAGCAGCTGGACTGCTGGAGCGGCTGGAAAGTGGAGGCCTGGAGCAGATCACCTGATCACCATCACATTGCATAGACGTAGACCATTCATTCATAATTTCATATCATATGGGAGCGTTATTGGCTAGTGGTCTAGTCTAGTGGTTAAGGCTTCACGCCACTGCACATTGCACAAAGGCGGCCCAGCCCAGCTCAAGCCCACTGGAGCTCAGGTCATTCTGGGCTGAATAGTTGAAGAAGGTTCCTACTTTCTTGTTCCCTAATTGGGTCATCTAGGGAGGTTCAATTCCATACGTTAACCTACTATATTTGTGCTACGTAGAGGGATGGTGTCAATCTCAGCTATCGGCTAAGTAAGGTACCTTCTGAAGTGGCCAGTTTTTACAAATTCTTAGCCCACATCAACTTATTGCCCACCTTTTATTAGTCTCTTCCACAAGTAATATTGCATGTTCAGAGTGTCGAAATTCTAATATTAAAACTTGCTTCAAAGAGAGAGAGAGAGAGAGAGAGAGGGTTCTTTGGACTCAAATTTGGCTTATTAATAAGGGATAACAAGAGAAATTATGGGCCCATCCAACCCAATTTGCCACGTAGCCCAATCACTCACTAAGGCTCAGTTTGGAAGGAGTAATCACTAAGGCTTCACGCAACTGCACATTACTTCTTCCAAATGGAGCCTAAGCTTGTAAGTCCTGCGGCCCATTTTCTGTCTTACCGTCTTGTGTAAGGGAATGTTCTACTAAATACTCCACTAAGATCAACAGCTTAACTTATTCTTATGTTCCAACCAGAGTAATGCTTATTCATCTCCAAGCAATTAAGTCATGTACCAGTGGGCTTGCAAGCCAAACAACTGGAGCAATTGGAGGCACTTATCCAAGTATCTCCCGTTTAATATCAAAGACGATAGTTGATTCTTGTAAAAAGCAACTGCACACTACTTGGATTGTTGAAACGGGAAGCATCAAAGAAACATATGCATTCACTTTCCTCATTTCCATTGATGGGATTGTAAAACCAATTTGTCTTCACTTTCAGTGCACACAACCTTTAAATCTCTCCCTCTTTCTCTCTCTCTCTCTCTCTCTCGATTTGTTGGTCCTTCTTCAAACTTCTTAGCAATCAAGTTATAGTTCCAATAGCCATATTGAGTGTGGCTAGCTCTTCGGGCTTAACATTCTCAGCTAGTCCAATGGCCTCTAGAGTAGCTATACCCTATAGGTTGCTGCTGCAGTGTTTTCACCTTCTTCCACATGCTGGTTTTGTCTGATCCCTACAATACCAATTACCCCCACCCTCTCCACGTCTTAACACAATTCAGGCAGGTTGGGTTGAGGGTCAACCCTGAAGGTGCAAATCTTGGGTTTGGGCCTATCCCAACTAGAGGCCAAATCTGAATTTACCAATCTAGACCCAACTCAAGCTTAATCTAACACAACTCCATTTGGGCACGGGTTAGGTTAAGCTGGGCTTAATTGGCTTTGGATGGATTTATCAGGCACATTTTCTGGACCTTTAACCCAAATTAGGTGTAGAATTGATTGAAAATATATTCAAATTTCATTTCTGAATGTAGATGTACATATATTTTTCCGACTGATGTACACATGTAGATATAGTTAAGGAGAAAAAGATATTTTTATATAACTAAAATTGTATGTATTTGTTTGTTCGGGTGGGCTTGGAATAGATTTAGCGGGCTCGGGCTAATCAAGACTCAACCCAAGCCAACCAGAGAATAGGTCAGGTCAGGCCCGAATTCTCTGATACAGGCCCAGCCCGCATCCGGAAAATACCGGCCCGAACTATGCAACAAAACTGGGTTGGGCCCGCCCAAGTTGCGGGCTTGCAGTACGCGAACGAGTGGAGTGATGAGGGTTTTCGTGGAACAGAAATCAAGTAAATCTGACGGTTAATAGAGGACCCTTCCTGATGTTACCATTAGGCTGTGTTTGGTTTGAAGGAAAACACAAAGTTTGTATAGATTTTCTTGCCTTTTCTTACCTTTTTCCTTCAAACCAAACACAGCCTTGTGGTTACCCAAGGGGATTATGAAACGATGCAGTATTTGGATAAGTACTTTAAATTACGTTTTTAGTCTTCATTATTTGCCAAACAGTTGCCAGTAGGGCAGTAAGTCAGTAACTTTCGAAGCAGGGGTATTGTTGGCGAGACGCGATAAAAACTCTGCCTTCCGTCACGCGAAAAGAAACTTTATTCCCGCCCAGGCGCCACGCGCCAAAGCAAAACCTTAGTCCTATACATAGATAAAACCCTAGAAGAAATGAACTCGGAGAGGAGCAGCAGGGATAGATCGTTTTGTTATATTCCCTGGGATCTCTTCAAGCCTAGCATCTCTTGTCCCACCACCGTCTCTCTTATTCGACCATCTCCATTCATGATCTCTCCCACCCTTCGAATCTTCCTACGGCTCCTCGTTGTCACAAAGACGCTGTTCCACTTGTCTGGCTTCTAGGGTTGATCATTCTGTTAAGCTATACAGATTTCCTGGTATTAACATGTTTCTCCATCTATTTGTCAAAAATAATGCAATCCCTCCTTTTTGTTCAACTTTCTTTTATTATTTATGAGTGATTTGAGGCGCATCATTCTGTCCCTGACTAGGTCTTGATAAAAATTTTGATCGGAAGGGAACTGGGAAATATCAATCTCTAGATGATGAAATGCCTTGTAGCAGTGTATTTTTAGGTTGGCTTCATTAGCATCATCCTTAAGTGGACTATGAAGTCTTGTTCAACCTTGTCTGGCCATGGTATTGGTTCACAACTGAGTAAACGCGGAGCTTTTTCCCATAATGAAGAGATGGGTTTGTCGGTTTTTTCTAATCCCTTCTGGTTTATCTTTAATACTAAAGAGATAATTCCCTCATGTTCATATATATTGCATAAATATTCATTGTTGTCCACACTATTGGACATTTTCTGTTGACTACTCTGTGTTTAAAGCTGCTTCGCTTCGTCTCATATTATACACTATTTGTCATGTAAATTTATGTGGTAGTTGTACAGGTAGGTTTCCATGAAACTGGGAGAGGCCCTAGGGTTCCCCAAATAACTGTTTATTTTGGTTTCCTGATGGCTTTGTTTAATGAGAATGGAAGTGTATTTTGAAGTCCATGCAAGAATGATAACGACACAATACTTTCATGTCTATTCAATATCTGGGCAAATAACAGTTGGGTTTGGTCATTTGTTTTCAACATGTTTAAATGATTGTTTGATATAATTTCTTCAGTCTTAATTCAATATAAACTGATCTGGAATAAGTTGAGTGAATTTAGTGGTCCATGCTTGCTTTGTGTCTCTTGTGCTTTTGGCTAATTTCTTAATTATATTTTTGCCCTATTTATTGCCAAGTTTCATTGCTTAGATGAGCCAGAGCGGTCTTACTGTTGTCTAGAGATAGGGTTTTTTGAGAACTTATTTTCTCTGAGATTTGAAATGGTTTGACCAGACATTGTCCCATTTAATAAGGTATACAAATCTTTCCAAAAGTGGACATGGTTTTCATGTTTATACTTAGCTCTAGGAGGGGAAAAGGTGGAGGCACCAGAATACACAGTCTGTTCTTTATTTCTTGGTTTACAGACTATACGAGCATGGTGTGACAGAAAAACCTTCTTCATTGTCCGAAATCTGTTGTTGGCACATTCTTGCGATGTGACAAAGTCTATGAAGATGACATTTTGACATGTTATAGGATTTTGAATTATGTGATTGTTTACTTCCTTTCAATGGTGGAATGTGTTGTGCTGACCTTATTGTTGTACTTCTTTATGTTTTTGTGATGTTGTAACATGTCTAAAAACTGAACTAGACTTGGTTCAGGAACAGTTCAGGTAAAGTTGTCCAAAGTAGAACCATTAATATTCATTTAGCATAACCTCTGCTGTGTATATTGCCGAGATATGCTGGCCACAATCTGAATATCATAGAAATGATATGAAAATACTGGTTTTAATTTATAACTGATGTAAGCTTTTGACCTATGATTTTGTTTCTGTTGTCTTGTATCAACTTCCTTGCCTTGTAAATTACAAAATTCTGGTTTTATCTTAATTCAGCAGCATGATGAATATATGATTTTAGTTTATATTGAATCTCATAAATCAGAGGTCTTCAAAGTTCTCTGAGCTCTTTCCATGTCATGTACATAATTATTTTTGTTTTTATTTGTTATTATTGTTATTGTTAAGTGTCATGTGCAAGAGAGAGGGGAAAGGAAGCGAAGAGAAGGGTGGAGGAAAATAAATGAATTAAATTTATTGTATATGGTGGTCTGGACCTGAAGCCAAGGCAAGTATTGGTATTATATAGTAAAGATTAAGGCAAGAAATGTTTTATTTGAAGAAGAGAGGCATGGGAAGGTGTGTATTGGGATGCAGTGGCACAATGATGAAAAGGAGATCCATCGGATGCCCTTGATGCCTATAGAATTGCTTGGCTTTTTTTTAGTGAAGGGCTCTACCTAAGATACTCACTGAATACAGAACTCCATTGAGCAAGATGTCCAAAGAAGAGATCTGTGCAGGTATTTTGCTTTTGTTCAAAAAAGTTATTAGTTTGGTTTTGATTTTTCATGGCATGGTTAATTGGTGATGAAGTCAATACATCCTGGTTTCTTGTTAGTGCTTTCACGTCTGTACTGTATCATTTTATTGCTCACTGGCTCACTGCTATTTCTGAAATAACACCTACTGCAATGAGCATTTTTGGTGAATATGAAATTTCTAGTTCAAATTTAATTTATTATCTTGTTGAAAAATTGACATGTATTTGTTGGGGGAATGTGTATGTATATACTACATAATGAGCAAAGGGAGTAGTGTTTTTAATCAATGAATACAAGTGTTTGTTTTTGTATTTTTAATTTTATGTCTACTTGTTTGATTCTATGCAAGCAAAGCAAGATGATGAGATAATACTTCTGAACTGTTAATGGTGAAGAAACGCATATTACAAGTTTATAATTGCCTTCAAAGTTCTCTGATTGCTTTGTTAGGTCAAGGGTCACTAAATGTAACGGGTAAGTTTCTGACTTAGTGACCAAAAGATTACTAAGTTGAGTGCTTTATTTTATTTCTTCTTTTTGTCTTTTCTTGTGTCCATATTGTTGCCTTTTTTTGTTTCTGATGCCAACCAAAGTAGACTTGTGCAAAATGATGATATAATATATCTGAACCATAAGCTGAAGCATTCAAAAAATAAGTGCCTTTAAAGTTCTCTGATTGCCTTGTTATATTATTGATCTGTATATGTGACAACAAAGTTTCATCTGTGATCAGTATAAAAGATGAGCAGGTTATTATTTTATTGAGGGCTTTGTTTTATGATTTTTCTTTCTCTTTTCATGTGCCGTTATGGTTGCATTCTTTTCCACAAAGCAAATAAGAGTAGGCTGATTCTATGATTGCAAAGCAAAATGATGAGACTATATATCTGAGCCATCAGTGCTGAAATGCATAGCATAATTGCCTTCAAAGTTTTCTGATTGCTTTGTAATATATATGGTCAGTGTGTGACACGAAAGCATAAAGTTTCAACTGTGTTGAGCATAAAACGAAGGCAGGCTAACAAATTTTGTTTTTTGATTAGTAGGTTTACAAATTTGTTTGAGTGCGTTTTATGTTCGTATCCTCTTGGTTGCTTTCTTTTCTTTAAAAGCAATTACAGAACTGCAGCAATCACAGCAGACTGATTCTATAATGGCAAGGAAAAATGATGGGCTAATATGCTTTTAATGCTGAAGCACATAAGATAATTGCCTTAATGGTCAGTAAAGTGACATTGATGTTTCAACTGTGTTGAGCATAAAATAAAACAGTTTTAAATATTTTTTGATTGATCTATTTTATGCTTCTTTTTGCTTTCTCGTTTGCCCTTATGATTGCTTTCTTTTTCATAAAACCAAGGAAAACTTCGATGTAATGTTGTTATAAACAGATAATCATAAACAATCTTCGATTGTTCTTTTATCTGTGATGATATATAACCTTATTAGAAATTTAGAGGGAGATAGTGAGTAGTTATGCAGTCACTGACCATGTATGTTATGGAGACAAGATTGAACTTGTGACTTGTGAGCTGCTGAGCTGCTGCTATACACAGTATACTGATTCCATGACAGCAAAGCAAAATGATGAGCTAACTTATCTGAGCTATTAGTGCTGAAGCATTTAACGTAATTGCCTTAAAAGTTTTCCGATTGCTTTGTTGTATCAATGTTCAGTATGCGCGACATCAGCCTTTGTGTCCTTGTGGTCACTTTCTTTTTCATCAATCTGCTACCCCCATAGGCATGGTTCAAAGTTCCATTTTCTCGATACGTATGTTGCGTATTGGATGTTTGTAATGGACATAATACTGATTTAAAAAAATTAATTAGGTTTCGAGAATCGTGTCGGGACATCTAAAAGCAGGAGTATTAGACTTGATTTTTCTTCTATTTGTATGTGGATATTGTCATTTACGGGGTGATATTCATGTAGGGCTGTAGTGTTTTAAGAATATGAGATCCTAACTTTTATAGAACCTTATTTGAAATTGGTGTCAGAAGGTAAAAATGGTTTAATGTCTATGGTAGTCACATAACTGTTCTTCGCGGATAACTCTCTTGGCATATATTTATTTTTTAATGCAATTGAATGGCGTCTGCATCTTCTGCAATTTTTCTTATGATTCTTGCACTGAGATGGAGAAGGTTTCACTCAAGCTGCCTTCAGTTGCTGTCCTCTTTCTTATTGCATCTGGTTAATCTCTCTCTCTCTCTCCATCTCGCTCTCTTTGAAAAACACACGTACACCAGGCACATTGCATTTGATCTAGATATATATTAGTTGAGTTGTAAAGTTTTTAAAAATCATGCATGCATGCATGTAACTGTTTGGCGTAGGGCTGGCGTTATCGACGACGACTGAAGCAATGTTTAACCTGCAAGTCCTCCGAGCGTAGAGTTGTGATGGTCATGACTGAAAAGGCCCAGCACGCAACCGAAGCATTTTCGGTACTAGCGTTTTGCCACACAGACAAGGGCTGCAAGAGCAGGTGCCCGCCAAATTGCCCCATTGTGAATCATGTTAACCGTCAGTGCTTCTGTGAGTATTAATTCAAGATTTATGGTCGGTTTGAAAATTGAAGCTCCCCCGATCTCTCTGTTGAATGAGGCTACTTCTTTCAATGTCGTCTTTTGGTCTTTCATAGAAATGGGTTAATGAATAATGATATCTGGTTCTATGTTTCATGGATTTCGTGGAGTTTTATTGCTAAATGCTAATGTGCGAATGCAAATTATGACATCCACACGCTTTCACACAGAACAGCCATGAAATGATATGGCACATGATAGACCACATTGTCGAGCAGGATAGAGTTGTGATTTTCTCAATCGGACCCAACCAGAACTGAAGATTGTCGTTGAAGACAATTCAAGAGATACGTGTGGGTAGAACCACATTGAATGTAAAACTGGAAAGCTCACCGGTCATGGTTTTATGTGTTTTCTCACGATTTAAAATAATTTGTCTAGCCGCGTCCAAGGTTTCTAAATGTGCTTCATCAAGATTCACCACTCACTAGAATTCTCAATAATAATTAATTTTAGGTGGATTGCCATTAATTCCACTATGATCAAGCACTCTTGGGTGAAAGTGTGTGGTAAGGGTAGATGGAGCAGAGTACCATTAGGCTGAGAATAGTGGTGGAGAAGCTATTTGCCATTAATTAGAGAGCTCTCTACAGTGAGCTAAAAGGGCTTGACTTGACACGTCCAATCGTTTTTGGTTGAGCTTTCCTTTCATAAACGGCCAGTGCCAAGTATATTGGTGGGGATCCCTGCCCCCCCTACAAACATTATTCATATGGTTACTGATGGGTGATTTGGCCCTACCTACTAATAGGTGGACAGGCGGACGTGACCAAATGACTGGATATTGACAAGGTAGTTCTTGCCTCTTCAGCATGACAGGTCACTTTGGGCACCTTGGGAAAGACCGAGGTTTGTATATTGCTCGTTATGACCTGACATGCAGAAGTGACTTGTAGCAGACTAATACAAGCTGTCCAGTCCTCTAAATTTTATGGGATAATGTTGCATTTTAGCAGGATTTATCCATATGCTGTTGGATCGGACGGACTTGATAAACCTTATTGACAATCACGAAGACAAGGAGATAGTACGTTGTCTGTGTTGAGCATGATACAATGGGATGGGCCATATTGGATTAGAGGTTTCAGATCCATGAACTGATATGACACAGCGGGCTGTGGTGCGTGCTGCGTGGGCCAATCTGTGTCCCAGCCTTACCCAAGACTTGGTCCACATATTAGCCTTGCCTTTGACAGGCATAATACAGCATGGGCCCGCACCACCGCACGGGCTCAAGTCATGGGCCATGCTAGGCCGACCCCCGAAGTATCCAGAAGAGGGAAGGATGGACCGTGCCTCAATTATACCACTGAACTTGGCTTTCTTTTGGCAGATAAAAGAGGAGGAATAAAAATTTACAAGCAATAAAATAACAAGGTTCGACCAGCTGTGTCAGTTTCCGCAGTACCAAAAGATATCGGAGCGATTAACGTCCTGGTCCTGGGCAACCATGTGCGCATATTGATTTAGGTCCTTACGCCTGTATTTAATATTTAGTATTTGCAGAACTAAAACTTAAAGAAAGTTCCGGAGTCCAGATGGTTAGATAGAGAGCCATCAAAGGGAGACCCATTCAGCGAGTGAATCGTGAATTGTGAGTCGTGAGATGAAAGGCTCTTTGACATTATTTCATTTCCTTGTTGATAAGCATTGCTTACCTACTTTTATGTGTCATCTTTTAAATGGGTTTGGATTGGATCGGACTTTTCAAAATAAAAAAACTTAAAAAAGGGTAAATTATAAAGACGCGTCCGTGACAAAGACCTTCTGTATTTTGTTTTGTGACAAAGACCCCTATATTAGGACTGTGAGACAAAGACTTCTTTTCATTAGTCTTTCATCTAAAAAATGAGAAGTCCATCATTGTAATATTTTTTAATCTCTATATTATTCTTGTAATAATTATTCGGACAATTAGAAGAAAAATACTATTCTTCCCCTTCCCCTGTTTTGAGAAGCTTCCATTCATGAAGTTGTTCGAAATGTCAAGGTGCAGCAAGTGAAGATTGGCGATGGGTTTCACGCTCCCTGAAATGTTAGTTGAGCTCAAATCTAATGCTCGAAGCAGATTCAAACGAGAGAAGAGACGATTTGGCAACTTACCACTTCTTGGATTTCCAAAATATAGCAGTGTGTGCAACTTACTGTAGGAGTTGCTTAGAATCGTTGTTGTATTCCCATCTTGTTTCTTTAGACCTCCAAAACAGAAGAGTGCAGAAAAACAAAGATTTGAATGATCCTCTATTGTATTTGTATCTACATCCCAAGTCAATGACAATTGACGGGTCACCCCAAGATCATCAAGATCACTGAATCCTGATTTTGTATCCTTAATCAATTTATATTCATCTCTTGAAAGCTCACGCACTATATCATGGAATGGCTCATGGATCTTGCATCTAACAATGTGCCCATCTTCATCTCTTTTCAAATCCCTAAAGAAATCAGTACGTGACAGCAGTTCTTCAAGGTATTCCATGGCAGATCTCTCCAACGTCTCCCAACTGTCATCCTCACTTTGGAGCCATCCATAACTGTGTTACGACATCCCTCTCAATCCAACAACCTTTGGGGAATAGCAAGAAGTACTTTAAGCACCTTTTTACATCTTTGGGCAACCTAACGTAACTCGATTTAAGCATTTGCAAGACATTCTTCCACACATTTGACCTCGGGTAAAGTTGCCATTTGGCCAGTCTCTTTCAAGGTTACACATCTGTGTAATCTCTTTCGAGATTGAAAAATAGGGGTAGTCGATGATCTCTAGTGTAACGGATAAGAAGAAGAAGGAGAAGAAGAAAATGAAGAAAAAAAGAAAGAGGAAGGAGCAAAGGGATAGGGGGAGAGAAGGAGAGAGAGAATAATGTAAAAGAATTTGAGGTAGAGGGGGTTATCGCCGCTATTTGTATAATAATTATTACAAGAATAGTATGAGGATTAAAAAATATTACAAAGACTTGTCAGTTTTTGGACGAAACGAAAGGTAGGTTAACAGAAGGGGGTTTTTGTCTCACTGTCTTAGTACAGGAGGTTTTCGTTGCAAAAAAAGGTAATAAGAAAAGGTGTTCGGATCCGATCGGCTACCGAAAAGTAAAAGAGCGAGCTCTGTGAAACCGATCCCACCCAGAAGCTTCATTTTCTTTGTAGTTTATGCTTGACTCGTGAGGAAAGAGGATTCTTTTCTTTTTCCTATTTGGCAGTCGACACTTGCAAGTTGCAACCCAACAGCCGATGCCCGAGGGTACTTGCCGTTAAACACCACTGCTCTCTCTCTCTCTCTCTCTCTCTCTTTGAGTTTGTGGTAGTCGCTTTGTGTCGGAAGTCGGAAGGGACCGGAAGAACTGGTTTATGCCGTTTCCTTCATGATAGTGGTAGTGGTGTTCCTCATACACCTTCCTCACGAAAATATTTACATAAAAATAAGGAAAAAAAACTGAAATTGAAGTGTCAGATTTCATGTCATTGGGTTCTACTGGCATGAATCCTTGAGGTTGGTTGCATGATATGCTTTAGCCGGTGGTATTAAGGAAAATACCAGAGAAAATATTCAGAAGAACAATAAAAGAGATCTCTCAAATCTTAAAGGTGAAAGAGAAGAGTTAAACCAATGGATCTTGGGTTAAGATTAAGTTGTTTCACTTCGCCGGAGAAATATACTAACTTGTGGGCGGCGAAGGCGATGTTCTTTGTGTAAGGGTTTCGTTTCTCCGGAATTGACCTATCTGATCGATGGAACTCAAAAAAAGAGTTGAATAATGTTTAAGGATTTTGTTGGGGTTCATCTCGCCCCCAGGACCTTGAAGCGGACAGTCACAGATGACAGAACATCCCAACTCGGTCCGAACATCGAAGGAAGCTTCAATGATATGATGATGTCATCGTCTATCCCAACAAGTAATCGGTTTAATTGTTAACCCGTCAATCCTTTGTCTCCGTTTCTTGTTTCTACACAAAGGGCCGACGACGCAACACAAAGGATTCTGCCACAGAAGAGAACGAGGGCTACGATCAATCTATTCCTATTTGCATCGTCCGATCTCATATTCAGGGATGGCCTGCTTTAGTAGTAATATCTGGTTCCCTCTCTCTCTCTCTCGATCTCTCGTTTTGAAACTTTAATATTTTCAACTTTTCATCCTTGTCAGCTGCTGAATTCTCCGAACATATAAGAAAAAAAACTACAAACCTAGGAAAAAATATTGCAACACGGAATTCACAAAAGAAAAAGGAAAGGCTAGTCTGAACCGAAATTTAATGCCATCAGTTCATCACAGAGAATTGAAACCTTGTGTGTTAAAGACTCTATTTATCAATCTCATAGAGAAGGAAGTGACCAGAATCTGAAATCAAGTTTGAATCCGCGAAGACATTATAGATTGCGAATAAAATCGGCCAGAAACTGATATTGCTCTAAGGAAGAAAACGGACTCCAGATTCGATCTTTTGCAGCATTTGTTAGTGGTTGGTTTCTTCATCATTATTTCCTCATAAGCAATTAATTCTACCTTTTTTTTCAATCTTCACATAGTTTTATATTTTTATCTTAATTTCTTTGTTTGGTCGTGCATTCCTATCATGTGGTTCTTCAGTTCTTGATATTTGTTCCGAGTCTTCCGATTCGTTTCTCAACCAGATCGTAATTCGGAAGTTTATGGCTGAGCGTAGGGATTTTGCATCGCTTGCGACCGCCCAAGTCCTACAAAACATTATCAGTAAAAGTCTTGCTAGAGGTTAAAAAATATTATTTATTTAAAATAATCCCGCCGGTCGGTTGCCGCTGCGTGTATCTAAATTCGACCGTCGTGCGACAGCAACCGTCATTAAAGGAATGGTGCCGTGAAACATGGTGGTCAAGCATAGATTACCTACTTTTTTGCGTGTCATCGTTGGGTTAAAAAATTCTGATAAGGGCTGATTGGTACTTGTTCCAAAAAAGAAAGAGTGGGAGCATGTATTGTCCCATCACTCAGATGGCAACCAGAAGCTTCGCCCTCTTTTTCTCTGTATTTTTTCGTAGTTCTGAAATTTCTGACATCGTGACATGTGAGGAAAGATGAAAGAGACTGCGGTGCCAATGAAACTTCTGGGCAGCTTTCATTGCAGTGAGCTGTGAACGTCAACATATAACGCAAAGCAAAGTTGGAGTTTGAATCCATGGGAATCGCCATTGCCGGGCGCTAACTAATGCGCTATGTCGGTGTAAGAATAAAATGGCGCAGGGTGCCAAAGAAAAATTGCTTGCAATCTCTGAGGCAGTAGGTGCGAGAGTGTGGGTAAGAGCAGAGAAAGTGAAAGTGAAGCTGCCTTCCCTTCTTCCCGTGAGAAACGTAGTACCAGTACCACATGAAGTTCGGACTCGACCTGAAGAATTGATCTATGCACTTTCCTTCATGATAGTGATTTCCCTCATACAACTTCCCTACGAATATATTGACGGCAACCCAATCCCGACCGTTATTTTTAAGGGCCAACCCACTACTTTTCATGCTTTTATCTTATCCCTCGTCTTTTCATTCTCGGGTTCGGCGTGTGCTATGATGTTGAGAGAACACTACCCCAAGGCCGCCGGATACTGTCGCCGTTTCGGTCTATTTGCTTTCTCACTTGCTTTTTCTGTTTTCCTGTGGGCTGCCATCCCCGACGCCTTCCGGCTGCTGTCGTCCCTTACCTCCTCTTCTTAATTAAGTTTATATCATATATATTATATATAATTTGTCGTTGTTGTTATTGTATAAATGAATAACAGCAAGAAAATTGCAAGATTGTTCTACTAAATATGGATGGTTGCATGCGCGTCCCTCCCGGTCCCGGGTCCCGGGTCCCGGCTGAATTTTAGTCTTTTTATTTTATATATGGATGGTTGCATTTGCATGTGCGTCACATGCACTTGCTTTTCTATATTATTGGGATTATGTCATTATGATTTAATTAGCCTTTTAAGGGTATTTTTGTCCTTTTATTTTCTATTTTATGGTTGCATACAACATACGATTCCTAATCACGGCCCAACTACGAGTGAATGAGTGATCATTTCAGCCCGGTATGGAAATTCTGGTTTTGAACCTCCGTTTTGGGCTTTATACTTCAAATACGGGTGTTCATGGGCCGGGTCGGGCTGGACCTGGAACGGGCTTTGCACTTATGATAACGGTTATAGTTTAAGTTTGGGCACTTATGATCCCCAGGCCTGAAACATAAGCCCTATCTTAGGTCTACACGGGTCCAAGTAGAGATGGGCCTAATTTAAACTTATTTTATACATTTAATAATATAAAATATCACATATAATATAAGTTATATATATTATGTCATAATATTTATATATAAAATATATAGTATAGTATAAAATAACTTGTATACATATGTATACGTTATACACAAAATGTGTAAGTTTAAATATATGCAAGTTGGGCCCGTGCCAGGCCTGAAATATTCAGCCCAAATCCATCCCTAAACTTTGTGGGCCTGATGTGGGCCAGGCCTGAACACAAAACCCAGGCCCAAGCTCGGAATTTCCAGGGCAGGTCGGACTGAAATGATCACCCCTAACTTCAAATAATACATAATTACAAATAATAATTTAAATATTAGTTAATAAATTTATGTGTGATCTCAAATAATGTGTGATCTCAAATAATAATTTAAATATTAGTTAATAAATTATAAAAATACATAATTACAAAAAAAAATTGATAACAAAAATACAACAAATACGATAAATTAACTTTCAGAAGTTAAATAGTTGTTTAATCTTCAATAATTATGGATAATTTACTATTAAATAACCAAACAAAAAATAGATTTATAAATAATTATTGAAAACATATTTATCAAAAATATAATAAATAATTACTAAAAATAAAATAACTATTAATTTTAGTATATATAAATATATAATGAATGTACACTATTATTGTAAAATTGTTACTAATAGATATATTTTTTTGAAAGTTATTTTCTATAATTATTAATTGATATAATGAAATTAGTTATTTACAATATTATTTAGTTATTTAAATAATATTATTATTTAAATTTTAAATATTAATTATTTTTTAAATTTAATAATCCATAAATTTATAATTAGTACTATTATTACATAATTCATCATTAATTTTGTAAAATAATAAATTATTATTAATATGAAAATTATGAAATCTATCATAATTGTTTTTCTACTTTTAAGATTTTTTTTTAATTTATTACATAATTTAGTTATTTTAACTATTTAAAATTTGGTCATGTTATATTTCATTTTTTAAATGTTTAAATAATATGTAAAATATTTAAAATTTTTCATTATTTGAATTTTATTTATTTTAATGTTATTATGTAATATTAAATATTTTGTTTTATAATGATTTAGCTATTTTTAATGTTTTATTCTTTAGGATATTTAGTTATTGAAATATTTAAATAATGTTTTATTTTTTAATGTTAAATTTTTATTATTTGAATAACATTTAAATTGAATAGTTCATAAAATTATAATTTGTATTGTTACTACATAATTCCATGATGAATTTTGTAAAAATATAAAATTATTAATAATATGAATATTATTAAATCTATTATAATTAATTTTTGTGTTTTGAATAAATATTTTAAAGAGTATATAATTTCATTATAATATTTAAATAATATTGAATTTTTTATAATTCAAACTTTCTTTAGATGGATGTAGATAAATAGTGGGGGAGAGGATAAATAGGAGTTAGAGATAGTTTAGGTGGGAATCTCTTGACTAAATTAGAGATAATTTAAAAGATAAAAAGGAGTTAGATATAATTTAGGAGATAAATAGGAATTAGAGAAGATTTTGGATAAAGTGAGGGAAAGTGGTGCCACTTAGCTAAATATTAGAAAAGCATATCTCTCTTTCTTTATGGTTGTTAGAAATAGTTAAGCCTATATTACTTCCTTTTTGCAAAACCGTTGACACAGTAACACAAGAATGGGTCAACCCCGTTTTTGAGTCCACACGTGCATTGTACAAGAATTGAGAGGAGTCCATGTGAGGCCTGTGGTGAGAGGTCCCTTACCTCTTCTCTTAGTCTCTTTCCTCTTTATAAAATATATATATATATATATATATATATATATGGCCATTCCCTCCCCCTCTCCTCCTGGGAATGAGAATACATTCCGACCAATTGTGATTCAGATTTCAGACTGAATTAAATAGGTGAAAGGAATAGAAAATTCTGATTTCGATTCTGACTGTAAACCAAATGAGTCCTAAGTAATGCAAAAGAATGACCATCTATTTCTCTCATTTGGATTGCCTCCCTGCCAAGTATATGTTTGGTATAACTTTCATTTATTAAATAAACATATTTTTTTTTATTTGTCTTCAAAACTAAGAAAACTACTTGATGAACCCTTTATTGACAAATAGGCGCCATTAAGCACCATTAGGCACCACATCAGCGAAACAATGAATAAATGCTTAACCGATGGGGGAAGCGTTAAAATGAAGCTTCCCCCAAAGGTTAGTGCACACATAAATCCTATGCATAAGAATGGACATAATGGGATAATTGCTGATTTGACAATAACATGACAGCATTTATCAAAATGCCTATCATAAAACACCCACATAACCAAACATATGCTAAGTATTCCTCATACCGACCATATATAGTCGTACATTGGGAATATCATATTACTAATGTGTGATTACAACATGGAAGTTTGTTCAAGTGTTTCAAGTAACTAATTTGGGTGGCTATGAGACTTCATCTATTGAAATGGATCAAGTTGGCTACCCAAGTCTAATGTTTAAGGGTGATTATTTTATCTTTTTAATTTTCTAGTGTTTTAAAATTTTACATTTATTAAAATGGCCAAATCTTCCCAAACACCCTTTCCCTATGGACATGGCTTTGATCAAGCATACTCTCAATTCCAATATGTAGCACCGATGGATGTTGATGCTAATGCTAACAGTAATGTTGGCGCTAGTGAACTAGGGAAACCGGGAAAAGAGACTAGTGGAGTATGGTCTTACTTCAAAGTAAAGGGAAAAGGGAATCTATGACATTTGTTAAAAATGCAAAGAAGACTTTAGCTGTCAAACCAATGGTAGTATTGAACATTTAAAAAGACACATGGAAAAATATACACAACAACGTGAATCAACTAAAACACAAATTGTACACACATCTAGTTTATTCTGCACTTTTCAATATTTCCAAAAAAAAAAAATTGACACAAGCACTTGATAAATATATTATATATGCAAAACAATCATTTAAATTTTTTGAAGATACAAAATTTAAAAATTTTTTACAATTATTTGTAAATTATTTTTTCTAGAATTTGTAGAAATATTGTAAGAATATATACATATTAAGCTTTTTCTTCCACATAAACGAAAATTAATTTCTACATTTTCAACTCTTATTTCTAAAGTTTAACTTGTTTCAAATATTTGGACTTTCAAATATAGTATTAGTTATATTTATGGGGTAATAGTAAAATCATTATCATAAACATAATTAAAACTAATAAAAAAATAATTCTCAATATCATAAGTACGTATAGTATTTAAAACATCACAAAAAATAGTTGAGCCACTACGTGGCTATTCAAGTTCTGTAAATCTTAGCATTCTTTTTTTGTAGTAGCCATGAATCATCAATAAAATGCCCCAAGACATAAATATAGCTAATATTATATTTAGAAGTTTAGATATAGTGAAACTTCAGAAATATAGTTTGAAAATGTAGAAATTAAATTTTGTTTATATGAAAGAAAAAAATTTTATACATCCATTCTTGTAGAATTTCCAGAAACTTCTTTTAAAAATAACACTGATGATTGTAATTTTTTTTTCAAATTTTAGATCTTTAGAAAATGTAAATGATTGTTATACATTTACAATACAACTAATAATTACTTGTGGCATTTTTTTCTTGTGAATATTGAAAAATTGCATACCAAACTTGATATATGTGCAATTTGTATTTGTTTTGACTTGTCTATTTCTACATGTATGTTTTTTTAAACTATTTAGTGCCACCATTGTTTTGGCAATTAGAATCCTTTTTGCATTATTTTTTATTATTATTATTATTATTATTATTATTATTATTATTATTATTATTATTATTATTATTATTATTATTTGCAAATGGCAGTCATACTCTTTCCTACAACTTTGATTTATTTTTACTGTAAATTAAGAACATACTTCACTATTTGGGGGTATTTGTAATTTTCCCATAAAGAAAATTAATTACCCTTACCTAGTAATTTGATTTGATATTCTTACTTGATTTCAATTGGTAAAGTCTCCTAACCTCTCAAATAAGTTGAGAACTTGAGAATTGAGATTGATTCTAGAAATTTGAGTGTAAGAGATTGATTGTAATAAGAAAGTACTAGTGGGTACCTGTGTGACACAAGGGAGATTTTAACTTAATTGTCAACTAGGAGAGAGGGAATTGTAACATTGCTATTTGCTACATTAAAGTAGACAATGGTTTCTTAATAAGAAACTTGCAATTATAAGTACTCAAGTCTTAAAATTTATGTGCTCGGTTTTTAAATATTGCTTCAGCAAAGCATCTCATAGTTGTCCTTTATTTCACATTGAGAACTTCTAGTTCACCCGGATGGTAGGACCGTTCGGCCTAGGAACCGTCTAGGCAATCGGTTTCGTTTTATCCAAAACCTGATCCTTGGCTATAAAACATTGAACGGATCAACGACTCGTTGACCCGGATAGTCAAACCGTTGACCCATTGACTCATTCAATAGTTTTTGACCATTTTTTATTTTTAAATTTTTAAATTTTTGTTTATAAAATGAGTTGTCCGTTCGGACTGGATAGCCGAACCGTCAACTTGGAAATCGGTGGACAAAATAGTTCCATTTTCGGGTCGTTTTTTTTTAGATGTCAATAATTAGACGAAAAAACTTTGTAG